GGCTGAGGGTCCAGTGTGTCCTGGGGCTGTCCAAGCCTCAGGCCTCTACCCGAGATGGGGAAACAGAGTTCAGAGAAAGGGAGGCTCTGTCCGCATTCTGCACATGCACAGACATCTAGTTCTCTCCCAAGAGCTGACACCTGGCCTGGAGCCTGCAGTATAAAGCTAATCACTTCCCTCCCTCTCTGGCTCCAAACTCTCCCATAGCTCCCCAGTACCCAGAGAGGAGAATCCTGACTCAGAGGGAAACCCATGAACCTCACCACTGCCTGTGAGGTCCCACCCGGCTTCTGGGATTCCCTTAGCCCTCAGTGTCCCCTACTCTCTTCCCACTCACTCTGCTCTGGCTATCTTGGCCTCCCTGCTGTTCTGCCAACACACCCAGCCCATCCTCACCTCAGGGCCTTTGTACATGCTATGCCCTCTGCCCAGAGCACTCTTTCTAAGTTATTATCCTCATTTGATTCCTCAGAAAAGGTGCAAAAAGAGAAGGTCACATGCCCAGGAACACCCATCAAGTTGGTGGGAGTGAGGATTTGCACGCCGACCCTCTCCCACCAATGGTGCCACACTTAAAACAGGCCTCCAGACCAGTCCCCTGTGGAGCTGGATGATTCTCAGCCCTTCCAGATCTTGCTGCCTCCAGATGGATGCCAAAGACCCTCAGGCCTCGGGTCCAAAGCCCCCTGCTCAGGGAGCTCCTGGGCCAACACGACTGACCCCCAAGTCTCCCAGTGTCTCTCCTGATGTGACCGCGATTCCGCCGCCCCACTTTCTGCCCTTCACGCAGGCGGGTGGCAGAGCCCTCAAGGACGACAGAGCCAAAAATAATTGGGCCGACCTACCTCCCCAAAGTGGGGCAGCCCCGCCCAGCCACCTGGCACCGTGGAGGTAATTAGTGCATGTGGCGAATTAGGGTAATGAGGTCTGTGGGAACCGAACCACAGATCCAGGTCTGGAGTTTGGAGGGGGCTTGAGGGTGGCCTCCCCCACCCCCAACCCGCCCTGGTCCTGGAACTCAAGTCCATAACCCAGAGCCGGATCCCACCCCCAGCCCCTTCATGCCTGGGCCTGAGAGGCCTGGCTCTGTCACTTCCTGGGGGCTGTTTGTTTAATGAATTAAACTTGGCCTTGGGCGGAAGTTGAGTTGGATCTAAATTTAAGGCGGGGTCACTTTCAAATAATGAAGAATCACCAGTTTTGAGTCATCTAACTCTCCTCTGCCATGAGCCCCATGTGTCCGTCCAATGCGGGGAGATGCCAAGCCCAAGGGAAGCCTCAGGCTTCCTCAGTGCCTGCACACTTCCAGGTGCACTCCTGCTGGGAGAGTCAGAGCTGAACACAGACACCCCCAGGCTCTTGGGGTCAGGGTTAGACCAGAAGGAAGGAAGAGTCCAGAGGGAGAGGAGGGGGGAGCTTCTTGGAGAAGAAGGCATTGGAGGTGGGGCTTTTAGGGATGAATAGGAGTTTTCCAGGAGGACAAGGTCTGGTGGCCGGTCCAACTGGCCATGGCTAGGGGAATGGGGAGAAAGAGGAAGATGGCTGGAGGGGCACATAAGGGGACCATAGCTAAAGATTTAGAAGATATCATACCAGGTTGGACCCATTTCTGTCCTCAAGAGTTCATGCCTGGTTGGGACCCGTCAACTCCTGAAAGAGAAAATATTAAGAATTCGGCTCATGGAGCTGGCCCTGTGGCCGAGCGGTTAAGTTCGCATGCTCCGCTTTGGCAGCCCATGGTTTCTCCGGTTCGAATCCTGGGCACGGACATGGCACCGCTCATCAAGTCCTGCTGAGGCGGCATCCCACATGCCACAACTAGAAGGACCCACAACTAAAAATACACAACTATGTACCAGGGGGCTTTGGGAGAAAAAGGAAAAATAAAATCTTTAAAAAAAAAAAAAAAGAATTTGGTCCAGGATCAATACCACACGCCCAGACAGCCAAGAATACATATGTTTATAGTAGCAAGTATTTATTAAACTCCTAGAGTCATGCTCTCTTCACGCAAGGACTCACTGGATCCTGACAGGAAACCTCAGAAGTGGGCACCATTCTTATGCACATTTTACAGATGGGGAAACTAAGGCACAGAGAGGGAAAGCGGCTTCTTTAGGCTCACACTGCTGGTAAGAGGCAAGTCTGGGATTCACTCCCTGGCTTATGTGACTTAAGAACACCAAGGACCAAGGCTGAGCCTCGGGAGCCCCTCCTTCTGGAAGTGTTTACAGAGTTCCTGCTGCAGGTCAGACCTGCTCTGGGTGCTGAGCCACGGAAGAGGTGGAGAGTAACCAAATCAGGCCATAACAAATCCAAGTGGCCGCTGTGACCTGTGCCATGTCGTCGGGCATGTAGCTTTGGGAAGAGTGACAGACTTACCCTGATCTGGTGGGATAGGAACTCCCCAGAGAGGACAGAGGATTTAGTTTTAGTCCAAAGGTTGGGTCAGATTTAACTGGGCAGAGGCCAGTGCTTGACCCGTAAGAGCCGCTCCACAAATGCAGCTTCCCTACAGCTGGACAAGCTGTCCTAGTCCCTGTTTGGCTCCTCCTGTGACACAGAGCTCTTTCCCTCATGTTCTTCCACAACCCCAAGGGAATGCTGTTGCTTCTAGCCAGCCACCCTGCAAGGATACGCCCAGGCAGCAGGGGGCTCAGGCAGCCCCATACCCATCTATACCCAGGGGACAGCGAGGAGCTGCCACTGTTGCTTGGATCCTCCTTGCCTCCTCCCCCACAACCCCCAGCCCTGTGAGCATCAGCCCATTCTCCAGGCAAGAAAACTGAGGTCCATACTGATAAAGCCATTCTTTCGGTCTAGACTTGACTAAGACAACTTCAGGTTGGGGCTGCTCAAGGCCAACCCCATCCCAGCCTCTCCTGGAGGTCTGAGAGGAGGGCTCGTTCCCCCTCATGCTGTTGCCTTCTGCCCGCACAAGCAGGAAGGCAACTGCCCTTCCCCCAGCTGCCCCCATAGAATAGCCATGTGGCCCCAGCTCTGCAGCCTGCCAGCACTCAGTACACCCTGAGTGGCTTCCAGAAGCCTTAACCCTGCCGGGACCTTTCCAGTTACTTCTTTTTAAATCATTTTTTTGGTAATAAGGAAAAGTCACTCTCTACACAGAACAGACGGTATTTTCTTTGTTCCCCACAGTGTTCAAGCGTTTCGTGGCTTTGGGCCTGAGAGCGCAGCCAAATCCCTTGCCTGTGCAGATGCCTTGTGAAGTTAGAAGCAGCTGGGGAAACTGAGTCGGTGCCTCAGTTTCCTTCCTGTGCTAGGCGAGGCTGGGGCTCTAGGAGCACCCAGAGGTAATAACCACGTAACACGGATCAGGGATCTCACAGAAAGGGATGGGGCTGTGAGGCAGGTGAGGGTGAGATCCCTTCTAAGCCCAGGACAGCCAGAGAAGCTTCCAGGAGAGGGGGCAGTGGAGCTGAGCCCGGAAGGACTAGGAAGAATGTACACCTGTGGGAGGGGCATTCCAGGTGGAGGGAACAGCTTGGGCAAAGGCCTGGAGGGAGCAAAGTTCAGATCTCGGCCTGGAACAAGTCCCCAGGAATGTCAGGACCTGGAGTTCCCTCAAGGTCATCTGAAGGCAGCTAGCAGCTCAGACGTGTGATTCCCGTCAGGGGAAATGGAAATAAAAGAACAGGGAGAGGGGATGTGAGCAGAGGACATGAAGAGCAAAACCCTCCGAAGTTGTTGGAAAGCTCAAAACCGAGGCTCGGAGCTTGTGGGAACTGCAGGCCGTGGTTCATGAGGAGCCCCGGGCTCTGCCCACCGCCCTGACGACCTGGCTCTCTGTGGCTCTGGAGGAATCTCCAGAGAGAGGGCAGCTGCAGGACCGACAAGTGGGCCCCCAGGAGGGCTGGGGCCTGGGGAGCCCATGCCTGGCTCAGGTTCAGAAAGAGCCCCTCCTGGCAAATGTGTGAGGGGTGGGCTCCTCTAGCTAGAGGTGGCAGACCCAGGGGACTCACCCATTGGGCGGCAACTGGACCCTCACTCTCCCTCCGTCCTGGATTCCGGGACCCTGTGATACAGCGACAGTCATCGTAATCTAACCATCACTGCCGTTGCTGCGGTGGTCTCAGGGGGAGACAGAAGCCCCAGGCTGGAGATCAGGGCAGTTGGGCAGGCAGGAAGCATTCTGAGCCAGCGCCCGGGATCAAGCCCCATTAAACGCCCATTAGTAGTTCACCTCTCTCAGCCGCCTGCAGCCCCCTCTCTGCCTAGCCGTCTTCCATTTCCTGGCGACACGCACTGAGCACCTACTGTGTGCAGGCCCTGCACCCACCAAAGTGACAGATGTGCTCCTGCCCGTGGACCTCCCTCAGGTGGAGAGCGACCTGACTCTCATTAAGGGCAGAAGGCAGCAGTGATCTGGAGGGTTAGGGCCACCCTTGACGAGAGAATGAGGCCACATTCCCCACTGTCCACCTCTGTCTCTGTCTGTCGTCTCCTGTGTCTCTCCCCGTCTCTCTGTCTCGGGGTCTGGGCCTCTTCCCCGTCCTTAACCCCCTCCCCACTCGACTCTCCCCTCCCCCCCGCCGCGGAGGCCGGCAGGGGGCGCTGCGGGGCGGCCTCGGGGCCCGGGGAGGCGGGGCGGGCGGCGGCCGCGTCGGGACCGGCCGCGATGGGACCGGAGGCGGCGCGGGCGGCGGCGGCGGCGCAGACAAAGGCGCGGGCGGTGCGGAGGGCGGCGCGGAGGGCGCGGGCCCCGGAGCCAGCGAGCGAGCGGGGCGCCGGGCTGCGGGGAGTCGGCGCCGGGGGCCCACCCGACTCGCGCCCGGACACTCGCTGGGCGCCGAGCTGGCAGGGTGAGCCGGGCCAGCCGAGCCTGTGCGGGGGCGCGGGGGCCCTGAGGTTCTCGGGCCGGGGGGAGGGCGGGGGGGTCCCTGAAGTTCCGGACACAGAGGCTGGGGGCGGCTCGGCGAGCCCCGAAGTTCAGAGCTTCAGGGGGCGCGGGGGCCCCGAAGTTCCGGAGTCGGGGTCGGGGAGGGGACCGTGCGAGGGGTTCCCAAAGTTCCGGGCCCGGCGTTGGAGGAGGCTGCGAAGGTGTCTCCGAAGTTCTGAATCTGGGAGGCGGGGGCGGCACGAGGGCACCCCGAAATTCCCGACTTGGAGATGGAAGGGTGGCAGGGGGTCCCCGAAGTTTAGGAGTCGGGGACGGCGCGGAGGATCCTCGAAGTTCTGGACCTGGGGTTGGAGGAGACAGATAATGTGTCCCCGAAGTTCTGGACCTGGAGTCGGGGTGCGTCGCGGGGATCTTGGAAGTTCCAGGGTCGGGGGCTGCACTTCCTGAAGTTGGGGTACGCTCAGGGCGCCCCTCTCCTGACGCCGGTGGGGACTCAATCGTGACTGAATGTCAGGCCCCCGGGACTGGGGCGCATGGGGTGGGGCTTCGCCCCCGCACGCGATTGGGGACCCTCGGCACCGGGCGGGGTCGGGCCCTCCGGGAGCCCCGCCGCACCCGAAGCGCATGACTAGCTGGTGAGTAACTTTCGCCAAACGCCGCAAGTCGCGGCAGGAGCGTCCGTGCCGCCGGAAAGGCCTGAGTTCCTGGGACCCAGGACCCACCCCCAACCCCGCCGAAGCTGCCGCCCCACCCCCGCCCAGGGGCTCGGGTTTCAGACCCTGTGACCGGGACAGCAGCTGCCCAGGACAGGGCTGGGCCGGGGCCTTCCTTCCCCCGCTTTGCCTCCCCCTCCCCGAGGTCCCTCCTGGACCTAGGGTCCCACCCAGCCCCCATGGTGTCGAGACTGAGTGGTGACGGGCGTCTAGAGTGGGCACCAGGGTGGACCTATGTGGCTACATCTTGTCTTTTGAACTAGGCTGGAGGCGTCCTGGGCATTTGGACTTTGTCTCCAAGGTGTGCCTCTGCCCCAGATTGGAGGCTGAGGGGTCTCTCCGTGGGTCCACTGGGGGACTGGTTTCCCACTTGGTGCCTGGCCAGGCCCCACTTTTTGACGGAGGCCCTGGTTTGGGGAGTGATGGGCAAATGCGGCAGAAAGTAGGAGCTGGCCTTGGCCTCCTCTGCCCAGCTCCGAGACTGAGGGGGCTTCTCTGGGGTCCAGTGACCAGGATGAGGAGAGGTTTGCCTGGGGTGTCAGGGGCCCCCTGGCTCCTGCCCAGGGTGTGGGGCTGCCTCCAGATGGAGAGACACGGGGTCTTTACGTTCTGAGTGAGCGACTAACTCCTTCACCCTTTTCATTGAAGTTCTATGAATGGTGCTCCTGGTGGTGGGTCTTGAGGTCCGACTTGCATGGCCTCCCTCAGCCTGGCCTGTGGGGGACACTCACAGGCCCCCTCTCCCTCCAGAGGCGAAACCAGGAGCTTCTGCCATCCCTCTGGCTGCCCCTTGGAACCCAGCTCAACCTGACCAATGTCCACAGCCAGGTGAGCCCCCGCCTCCACCTGCTGGGCCCTGAGCCCCCTAGGTGGCGCCCGGCCCCACTGAGCACCCTCTCCCTGTGCAGGGAGCAGCCCATCTTCAGCACACGGGCGCATGTGTTCCAGATCGACCCGGCCACCAAGCGGAACTGGATCCCGGCGGGCAAGCACGCGCTCACCGTCTCCTACTTCTATGATGCCACCCGCAATGTCTACCGAATCATCAGCATCGGGGGTGCCAAGGTCCCGGCAGGGCCTGGGTGGGGCGGCAGGTGCCAGGGGTCCCGTGACAGGCTTGGGTATGGTCGCTACCTTGCTGTGTGCCAGGGGGAGCCCTGACCCTTTCTGGGCCTTATCTCTTCCTCCTGAAATAGTTCAGAGCAAGGACCTCCAAGGTGCTGATGCAAAGTGATACCCCAGGGGGGTTCATGTTCATTATTACCAGTCCCATCGACCTTGAACTTTGCTCCCCCCTCCCCAGGCCATCATCAACAGCACTGTCACCCCCAACATGACCTTTACCAAAACCTCCCAGAAGTTTGGGCAGTGGGCAGACAGTCGTGCCAACACTGTCTACGGCCTGGGCTTTGCTTCTGAGCAGCATCTCACCCAGGTGGGTCTCGGGGGTGTGTGGTGGGAGGGACAGGGCTGTGCCTGGGTCTTCTCCTGAATGCACTGGGGACTCTAGGAAGGGGCTGGGCCTCCATCTTCCGACCTGCAGAATGGGCATAGAGAATCAGACAAGCCAGAAGCCCCTTCCCCTCTCCCTGAGTCACGTCTCAGCTCTGCTGGCCACCTGCTCCATCTCAGGACACACCTTGCCCTCTCTGGGTGCCTGGGCTGGGCTGGGCGCTTCCCCACACACCCTGGCACTCCCTCCGCCATCGCCCCACCCTGTGTCCTCTCTAGACTTCGCTATGTCTCACCCACTGTCTCCCTGTGTGGCTGGCGCTCTGAGTCCTGCTGAGGTCATGATGATTTTCTTCTTTTCTCCTAGAAACTTTAGTTTTCTTTTCCCATTGGGATCTTGAGTTGATTTCTGTGAGTGGTATAAGATAGGAATGCTTTTTCCCTTGTGGGTATTCGTTGCTCTTGGGCCATTTTTTGAAAAGGTCATTTCCCCCCAGTTTGCACAAAAAAGTGGCTGGATGTCTGTGAATATTTTCTTTAAAAAATTATTTTCCAACGAAGGAAATTTACTTTAAAATGAAAAAAAGTGTCTCCTGCCCTACCTGGAACTGGAGCGGGTGGTAGACATAAACATCAGTGTGACAGAAATGAGGATCGGGTGTCACTTTCTCACTGGCTGTGGTGCCGCTCGGGCTCCGAGCCCACACCCTGCCTTCCCTCCATCCCAGAGGGGTGTTCACAGCGTGCAGGCCTTCCAGACGGAGCAGCGCCCAGCTGGGGCCCTCCTTGCTGGAATAGCCTGACTGAGAGGAAAAGGGATCTCTTTCTCAAGGTGGCTCAATGTCATGCACCTCTGTGGACATCCCATCCTGACACTGATACCGCTCTGCTCATTGGGGCGTCATTTTCCAAAGCTTCTTCCCATTTTTCCAGTTCATGAGAGGAGAAGATGCGCACAGTTCCTAAAGTTGCTTCCAAAGTGACAGTGCGGGATGGGGGTGTCCTGGGGGGGCCCTCGGGGAGGAGGCTGGGGGTTTGCTGACTGTCTGTTCCTGCCCCCCCTTCCTCAGTTTGCTGAGAAGTTCCAGGAAGTGAAGGAAGCAGCGAGGTTGGCCCGGGAGAAATCTCAGGATGGGGGGGAGCTCACCAGTCCGGCCCTGGGGCTCCCAGCCCACCAGGTCAGCACTCCCTGTCCCGTGGCGCCAGGCACTCAGCTGATATTGGGGGGTCCAGATGCTGTGCCAGTGCCCAGGACCAAATGCTCACAAATGACAACGTAAAACTAGACCATGGCAGGGACTATGGAGGAGGGCGGGGGGGCTGTGGGAGCGTGTCATAGGCGGTCTGGTGCGGCCTTGCGTCAGGGAAGGCCAGAAGACCAGCCTAGATGGTGGAATAGAGACCTGGAAGTTGAAATGGCTGAGTAGAGGGCTGAGTGAAGAACTGGCCCTGGGCGTTCTCTTCCATTCATGTATTCAGCATAATTGATTGACCACCGTCTGTGTGCCGGGCCCAGGGCTGGGCACAGGGCTTACAGAGATGAAAAAGTAGGCTGGCCCCTGCCCTCAGGGCTCCTGGTCTAGGCAGTGAGGTGGGTTCATAAAGAATTTGGCTGGTGGAAAGGGCTTCCCATCGGCATCTTAAGTGGATATTGACATGTGGCCCCAGGAAAGGGCACTGATGTTGGGGGATAGCAGGGGGGTGTCAGATTGCTCCCCCTTTGCAGATTTCAACTATCACAGTGGGTTTAGACCAGACTACATCAGGTTGGCTCCTGGGGGTGGTGAGAGGAGAAGCAGACAAGGTGGGGGGCAGAGCCTGAAACTCCGGCCCAGGGGCCATGGGGAGCCATGGAGGGTGGATGAGGAGGTGAGGGGCACACTTGGATCCCAGTGTCTTGGAGGACCTCCCTGTCCTCAGTCAGGACCCCGCTAACATCAGCCCTGACCCCCAACCGTGACCTAACTGGTTCTTGACTGAAGCCACTCCCACCGTGACCCCACTTCTGCCCACACCCTTAGGTGCCCCCTAGCCCCCTCGTCAGTGCCAACGGCCCCGGGGACGAGAAACTGTTCCGCAGCCAGAGCGCGGACGTCCCCGGCCCGGCAGAGCGAGAGCGGCTCAAGAAGATGCTGTCCGAGGGGTGAGGGGGGTAGGGCGGGGCAGGACGGAGGGCGGGGGAGGGGCTGCGAGGAGCCGCCGGGGTGGCACGGGCGGCGGATCTGCCTGGGGACCCGAGCCCCGGGAAGGGGAGGAGGCTGACCCCGTGGCTGACCACGTCCCCAAGGGCCGCCCCACCGCGCTTTCCGATTGTCACCCTGAGCTGGGACCGTGCGCCTGCTGGGACCCCGCCCCGGCAGCACCCCGCGTCCCCGGGGCCGCCCACCCCTGTCCCCGCGCTCTCCCGACCCCGCCCCCCGCCGCCGACCGTCGCGTCCCCGCAGCTCGGTGGGCGAGGTGCAGTGGGAGGCCGAGTTCTTCGCGCTGCAGGACAGCAACAACAAGTTGGCGGGCGCCCTGCGAGAGGCCAACGCGGCCGCCGCCCAGTGGAGGCAGCAGCTGGAGGCCCAGCGTGCAGAGGCCGAGCGGCTGCGGCAGCGGGTGAGGAGACCCGGCCCTCGCTGAGCCCCAGGTGGCCCTGGCCACAACGTGCCGGCACGTCCTCTGTGTCCTGAGTTCACCGACTGGCTGTGTGATCTCAGCCGGTCACTTTCCTGAGCCTCAGTTTCTTGCTCTGTGACATGGGTCTGAAATAATGCCAGCCTCAGAGGGTTGTCAGACCCTGAAGTCCTACCTGCCAGCGGTGGGGTGGTGGTCCCAACTGGAGGGGGTGAGTGAACAGGAGGCTGATTGCCCAGGGGTCAGGAGAGTGCAGGCTGGGGTGTCAGGTGCTGACTTTACTGTCTACACAGGTGGCTGAGCTGGAGGCCCAGGCAGCCACCGAGCCACCCTCAGGCAGCGAGAAGGAGGGGCCGGGCCAATCATTGGAGCAGCTGGAGGCCCTGGTGCAAACCAAGGACCAGGTGAGCACTGAGTGTGTGAGCGTGTCTGTAAGGGAGCTGGGACCCCCGGAACAGACCTTGGGAACTCTTCTCTTCCAGGAGATTCAGACACTGAAGAGCCAGACCAGTGGGCCCCGTGAGGCCCCGGACGCCACCGAGCGCGAGGAGACACAGCAGAAGGTGCAGGTGTGTGTGGTTGCCATGGGGTGGGGTGACCGCGCATGGGCAGCCAGGCCTGGGTGTGGGACAGACCTGGGATCGTTATGACTCCCTGAACCTCAGTTTCTTCACCTATAAACGAGGTTGGAAAGATACCTGCTTAAGGTTGGGAAGGATTGAGAAGACTAGGTGCATGGAAGGTCTGAGGCACAGCAGGCGGCTTGTAAGCTATGGTTGTTAGTACGATGTTTCATAGCCATCCGTTCATTCAATGAGCAATATTTGAGTCCCCGCTGAATCTGCATACTTGACCCCATCAAGTCTTCACACCTCCTCAGCCTGAGGTCAGGAGCCTGCATTTGAACCCAGGTCTGACTGGCCTGGCTTTTGCTGGAGATTTTATCTGAGAAACAATCGTGGGGCATGTGCTGTGAGTCCAGCAGGTGGAGATGTTAAATGATCTGGTGTGCCCAAAAGTGTCCAGGCGAGAGAGAAGTTGAGGAAATGTTTCTTATTGTCTCCTCAGTAGAGTGCACAGCATGTGCAAAGGCCCTGAGGTGGGGCACAAGTCAGTGTGTTCAAGGAACTGCAAGGAGGCTGGTGAGGCTAAGTTGGGATGACCAAGGAAAGGAGGGAGAGGGTGTGGATTTCATTTCAGCCTGATGGCTCACAGGAGGCTTTTGAGCAGAAGAGGGATGTGATTAGTACTATGCTATTCAGATTGGCCAGGGGGCTGGCGAATGTCTTGGGCAGAGGTGTCAGGGAGGAGGCCTGGAGACAGAAGGGACTTGGCCCAGAGTGGGAACTGTGGGGATGGCACTCAGACGCTGGACGCCCCAGGCAGCGTTGGTGACCCTTCAGACTTTGGGGCCCCCAACTCTGCCCACCCTCTCCCTGTTGCAGGACCTGGAGACCCGCAACGCAGAGCTGGAGCACCAGCTGCGGGCAATGGAGCGAAGCCTGGAGGAGGCACGGGCCGAGCGGGAGCGGGCGCGGGCCGAGGTGGGCCGGGCTGCACAGCTGCTGGACGTCAGGCTGTTCGAGCTGAGCGAGCTGCGAGAGGGCCTGGCCCGCCTGGCCGAGGGCGCGCCCTGAGCTGGGTGCTGGCCCCGTGGAGCCGGGCCGTGGGAGCTGGTGTTCCGCGAACGATTCCCGCCTGGGGTGCGGGCCGGGCCGCCGGCGGCACAGTGGGCCATTCGCCCTGGCAGGGACCGGGGGTGGACTCAGCCGGGAGGGCCTGGCCACGGCGCCCCAGCTGGCCCTGGCCACTCACGGCTCAGGGGCTGTTTTTGAGCTTTCCATTGTGTAGAATTTCTAGAATCCCCGGGGCGCGTGCTGGTGCCCAGATTACATTTGTAAGCCTGGCTGTGTGCGTGTGGTGTGTGGGCCCCTACCTACTCTCTTGGGTGTCCCTGAGCCGCCATCAATCCCTGTAGGGCTGGGCAAGCCACTTGCAGGTGAGGGGAGTGAGGCTGAGAGAGCCTGAGGGGTGTGCCCAGGCCACACAGCCAGGAGCCCGGCACTGCTGCCCCATCCCCTTGAGTTCAGCCCGTACTGTTTGGACTTAGGTGGCCCCTGGTTGAGCCCCCATTCACTGTGGCCACAAATCCCAAATGTGACCAGGAGAGTAGGCAGGGAAGTTCCTGGAACACGGCTGTGCTCATTGGGCCTGGGAGTGAGCTCAGCACCCCTCACAGCCACGTTTGGAGAGAGGTGCAGTTGCTTTGCCCGGGAAACAGGCCCAGAGATGGCTTCACCAACCCAAGGTCGCCTGGCAGGAACGGCCAGCACAGCAGTTCAAGGCTTTGGGCTTGGTGGGTGGGAATGGAGAACTGGGTGTGGGGTGGGGGACATGATGCTCTGGGGCGCTTGAGAAGCACAAGCAGCTGAACCCTCCCCTCCGGCCCCCACTCCCCGAGAGTCAGGTGGAGGAAGTCGAAAGACCCATTTATTGAGCACCTCCTGCAAGTGACACACCTTTGCTCGTGGGCCCTATGGCATGCCCCTGAGGTGACCCTGGGCCAGGGTCACTCTGTGGAATTGGGCCCAACCCCATAGCCAGCATTCGTTCCTCCCCTGCAGTCTGACCCCCGGCCAAGGCTCTGAGAAGGGGCCAGCTGGGGGCTGCACAATGTGGGTGTCCATGGGCTCCGCTGAGGGGGACTGTCTCCAAGGGGGGACCCTCTGAGCCTCAGCTCGATGAAGGAGTCCCAGGCTGGGCAGGTGGGAGCCATGTGGGCTCAGGCAGGGCCCTGGGTGGGTGCTGGGGCCGAGCGGGCCTCAGGCCGGGCCCCGGGTGGACGCCCCCTGTGGTCTGCCCTGCTGGCCTTCTGCCGCTGCAGGGCCTGCTCCACCTTCTCCTTGAAGCGCCGGTTCTTCTGCTTGATCTTGGCCAGTTCAGCCTTGCGCTTGGCCTCCAGGTCAGGGTCCTGGCATGGGGTGGACCGGGAGGGAGGAGGCTAAGCTGGTCACCCCGCTGGGGAACCCTGCCCACCCCATCCCCCGCCGGCTCAGCCCTCACCTTCCCCTCCAGGATCAGCTGCTTCCGCTTGTTGATCTCCTTCTTTTCACCAAAGTTGGCTGCTTCCAGTTTCTGGGGGGGAGGGAGAGGCTGTCACAGGGGTCCCCATCTTGAAGAGAGCACTCTGGGCCCCAAGGACCAGCTGGGCCTCGTGCCCAGCCCCTTCCCCGACACTCACAATCTCGCACTCCCTCCGCACCACGTTGACCTGTGTGAGAATCTGCAGCACATCGGCCTCCTTCACCGAGAACTCCTCCAGCTTCTTCTCTGTGGGGACAGCGGGGCCGGGGGGCAGGGGAGGACGGACATGAGAGGGACTTCAGCCATGTAGTGAGCTCCCCGTGTGGTGGGGCATGCAAGGCCAGCCGAAGTCATATCAGATAAGGGTCAGGTGGGCAAGCTCGGAGATTTCGGACCTGAGGAAGGTCTGAAGCTTCCTTAGACCGAAGGATGAAGTACTGCTCTTTCTTGTTGTCAGAACACTCTGACTGTGACGGGGGTACTTACTCCTTGGAAACAGTGGCCTTAAAGGCGGGTGTTTCTGGGTTCTAGGACAGGGCATGCAGTGATGGAGAGGCCCAGTCAGTAGTTCTGTCTTGGCCACACATTCAACCACCCGAGGGGGTTTTAACACGCCCAAGCCCAGGCCCCTCCCTGGAGCTCCCTCCCCTCCGGGACCAGCTGCACATCCCGGTCTGAGCACTCAGCGCCTCCCACCAGACGTGGCTTTCAGCTGCTGAGGGCCACTGTGGGACCTTCTGTTTTGATAACTGGGCAAAAGAAACTTCCTTTGGGGTTGTGTAGGAAGGAGAGTGCATTTTAGCCTGCTCGTGTGAGGCTAGGGGGCATCTCACCCAGAGGTGCCTGCCACCCCCACTCCCTACTCACTGATCTGCTCCTCGATGGCGTGTACCAGGTGGATGTCATACTGCGTCACCAGTGTGATGGCTTGTCCCTGCCGCCCTGTGGGGACACACCAGTTACTTTGTGTGTGCTGGAGGCTGGGGACAAGGGGCCAAGAAAGGCAGTCCTGACTGCTAGGCAGGTCAGGGCTCCTCTTGATTGAGGGGAGCAGAGGAATGCTCAGTGGGAAGGTGGGGGGAGGGGAAGGAAGCCCAGGGCATCAGGGCTCACCCCCTGCTGGACCTCGGCCTCACACAGGGGCTGATTTCCCTTTTTGGTGTGGCTGCCAGGGAGCCCAGGCTGAGTTATGTCAGCACGAAGCCCTGACAGGCCTCAGCCCAGATCTCTGCACACCAGTCTCCACTGTCCATATCTGTGATGGTGGCTGGTGCTGGGGCAGCCCTGACAGCTGACAACGCCCGTGACCCTTGCAGCAGCCCCAGACAGGTGTCAACGTTCTCGTCACCCATCGTTTGATGAAGTAATGGGGCCCAGAGAGCTGATGTGACCTGCCCAAGGTCACAGGGTAGGAGAGAAGGGCCAGGCCCAGCCCAGCCCCAGAAACCATCTCTCTCCCGACTCCAGGAGTGAGAGAATCTCACGAACCCCATGCCCTTCCCTGGTGGGCTAGGGAGCAGACAGAAAGATGTGTCCTTGGCCCCTGGCCAGGCTTACAGTGAGAGGTTGAACTTGGACACCAGATCCTACGGGGCAGCAGCAAACCTGCTAGGGCTCACACACCCACTTGCTGCCGGGCTCTGATTGGCAGCTTTGAGAGGCAAAGGGGGCTGGCATGAGCCAGCAGGGAGTGGTGGGGACTGGGGCAATGGGTACCATGTCCCCAGGGGATGTGCACGCTGCTCAGCTATCACAGCATAGGTTGTGCGGAGAAGCCAAAGCACCCACCTTTGCTTTTGAAAGGACAATTCCTGCAACTTGCAAATGCTGCCTCTAGGATTGCTCGTCTGTGGGCTGTATCTGCCCCATGTCCCACCAGCTTGTGACTTTGACTCCTCGTGGTGTGGGCTGGCTGGAGCGACAGGTGCCCAGAGGCCACCCTGCCCTGTCCACTCACCTGCACGGGCCGTCCGGCCGACTCGGTGGATGTAGATCTTCGGGAGCCCGGGGGTGTTGTGGTTGATGACCACCTGCACCGTGGGAATGTCCAGGCCCCTGGAGGCAGAGGCAGGTCAGCATCACCGCCCACATAGGGAAACCGAGGCTGGGACACACCCAAGGTCACTCAGCAGCAAAGCTGAGGTCGCCCAACTCTTGCCTGAGGCCAGCCTCCCACTTTGGCCCCTCTGGGGGTGCATCACGGGACCAGCACATGGGAGGGAGTAGCCGGGGGCGGCTCACCGGGAGGCCACGTCTGTCGCAATCAGGATCCGGTAGATGCTAGACTTGAACTTGGCCAGGGCGGCAAAGCGTTCTTTCTGTGCAGGATTGGGGAGAGAATTGGGGGGAGCTGGGGGTCAGGCAGCATCTCAGCAAATATTTGAGCACTTACTGTGTGAGGCCTGGGGACAAGGCGGAAGCCAGGACAGTCCCTGCCCTCACAGGGTTCACAGTCCAGTGAGGAAGACAACACGAGAAGACCAAACAGGGCAGACGGGGGGCAGGAAGAGAGAGGAGTCCCCGGGGGAGGCAGACGGGCCGCAGGGTCTCGGGGGCAGCCGACGCCTCACCTGCCTCATCGTGGAGTGCAGAGCCACAGCGGGGAAGCCGAATTTGCGCAGCATCATGCACAGGATCTGGCAGGTCCTGGCGGGAAGGATGTGCTGTCAGCCCCTCCAGTGCCCGGGTCCTGGGAAGGTGCCCCTGCCCTTGCCTACCCCTGAGACCCCAAGCAGGTGGCCCTGCACAGCTGGGGATGGAGAAGCAGGGGTGCGAGGTGTCCTGCCTGCTGACATCCTCTCTGCTGACCCCTCCCCTGGCCTAAGCCAATGAGAGTCGGCCCTACATCCAGACTTTTCTCTCCTGGTAGCCAGTTAGGAGGCCTCCTCCATGCAGTGTGGACTGCCCTTCTACCGCGCCCTGTGGTGGAAGAGCCTACAGCTTTTTGACATCCTCCCAAAAGCTTCAAAGGAGGAACCGACTCGAACTGGCTCTCGGAGCCCCTGGGATTGCAGAGACAACAGCCTGGGTGTTGGTGCTGGTGCACCAGGCCTCAGTGACACCCTAGACCACAGCAAACAGGTTGCTCCAAGGCCTTCCCAGCTGCTGCAGGAGTTACCTTGGGACAGCCCGAGGCCCCTAGCCCTTCTGGTTAAGGGCAGGGCTGGGGAACCCCAAATCCGGGCTCTGCCTTCAGGAAGAGTGACCTTGGCAAATCCCTCGAGCTCCCTGAGCAGCCTTGAGAGAATCCTCTGAAACCTCTGGTCTGAGCAGAGGCCCCAGAGCACCGAGACTGGCTGTGTGCCTCACACCTGCGACCTTGGCCCCCTCTCGGGCCTCCAGGAAGGGCTGGGGGGGGGGCGGGGCCTGAGCTCACTTGCACGTGTTGGTGAAGATGATGATGGACCAGTCCTGGTGCTCGTCCTGGAAGTTCTGGATCAGGTGGACCAGGTAGGCATCCTTAACCTTTTCAGGCACCAGCAGGTAGCGCTGGTCCAGCTGCTCCACTGTGCGCACCCTGGGGATAGGCGGGCCTCCGTTTCCCCTTCTGCTGAATGGGGCCAGTGCCCTGCCCTGCCCACGGCTAACAGCCTCGGTTAGGTAGACCTCCCACCCCCTGCCTGCTCTGCTCCCCTGACACGTGGCTGTGGACTTACGGGGCCTGAGCCTCCCAGAAGAAGGGCTGGTTGGTGGCCAGGCCCTGCAGTTCCCTGAGCGTGTCGGTCAGTGTGGCGCTGAAGAGCAGGGTCTGCCTGCGGGCTGGCACAGCTGCCAGGATGGCCTCCAGGTCGACGGTGAAGTCAGTGCAGCCCTGTTCCAACA